TATATATATATAATTTTAGACTACTGTAAGTGCAAACTTTCACCTTCAACGATTTTTTTTCTTTCAAATTCTTCCATTTTGAGGATTAATATAACAATATACTTTTTAAATTTAGGGACTAAAGTGATTGGTTACTTAAAATTTTATTTCTTCAAATTAATTTAGTACTTATATAAATATATAAAATATATAAAATATAATTTTTTTCTCATTGAATATTAATATCATCTTCATTAAATTTTAAATTAAATATTAATTTACTAAGAGCTCTTTGATATCGTATTCTGTCAGCATTTACCATTAATAGTCAACTTTTGGATTGCAAACAAAAATATAAAATTTGAGTATAAGCCTTTAATATTAATATAGTCAACTTGTAAAATTCATTAAATTTTACAGTAAATTATTTGAAATATGAGTTTATATAATAACTATTTTTTCCAAGTTGACAATAGAAAATGCCAATAATATAAGAAAAAGAGTTTTTTTAACGTAAACAAAAACATTAAAATAATATTTATTTATATCCAAAGTACATGTTCAAAATTTGAATAATATATGTAAAATAAAAAATGACAAAAAGAAAAGTCAATGAACTTCTTTTATAAATGAAACTCTTATTGAGATTTATAATTAATTTTTAACACAAATAAATACTTGATATGGGTAATAATTAATTTTTGCATGTTTCTAAATTTTTTATTTTAATTCATGAAAATCGAACTTGTCCTAATCACCTTCAAAATGATGTGGTGTAAATGTAGTCACCATTATATCAGTTCCATTGGCTCCACTCTTTCTCCTATCAACAATGCTATTAAGGGTAATCTTTCTTAATTATATGTTATATAAAGATTGATTAAGAATTTTATATCTAATAAGTTTTCCAATCTTAGTACAACTTATTATTTGGGTGTGTGCGATTTCAGTGCCATGCACAAAATAAAGGGACCTACACAAGTAGATATATGCTTGCATGGTATGAAGGAAAGTGCCACCGGTTGAACTGGTTATTCTTGCCTTTATTGTAGTTGTAGACAAGGTTGGGAGTTGAAGCAGTGGCTAACATGCAAAAAAGAGACTCTAATTGGTTCCTGGCCATAGAGTCCCCCATAAAAGCCATATATGTGCTTCTTGTTAATGAGTTGGAGAAAAGTTGGAGGCTCAAACCTTGGAAGATGGCATTGACTTGGCTTCCATCTCTAGTGAAGATTTGTAAAAGTGTGAAATTGTGCGATTGAATATAACTTATTTGAATTGTGCATGCCTATACCTGCATAAGAAAGGGGAAAAGGAAAAAGAAAAGGATGGTACGTGATGTTAATGTTGGTGGAATAGGAGAGATTGGTTTTAGGAGATGGAGAAAAGGGAAGAGAGTAAAACAATAAACGAAGGAGAATCATAGGAAGCAGTACACAAATAGAACATGGAATAGGTTGTTGGTGAGGGAGAGGGATGTCTTTGAATGGGTCAATTGTTCCCATTTTCAAAGCCTTTCTTCTTGCTTATACTTCCCTTAATTTTTTGCCTTCTTTTCGCTCCTGACTCTCATTGGTGTTCAGCTGAGAAGAATGATGAAAAACACTGTATTTTTTTGTTTTTTTGCATTGATCATGTCAAGTGGAAGTCAAAGAGAGTTATATAAAAATATTTATAGAAACACGTCGAAGGATATATATCTCTATGATCTCTCCAGCTTACTAATTTTCAGAATTTCTATCTTGGCTTTTATTAAACAGATATATGGAAAGTCATTAAATCGTATTTGAAAACCTGTCAAAATATACTGTAAGGAAGACATATGCGGAGGATCTATATGATAATAACTACGAACGTTACCTTAATTAAAGTGGAATCGAATTCATTTACTTAAGGTTCAAGTTCAATTTTTTGTAAATAAATAAGTTTTATGATGAAGATCATTCATTAACTCATTGTATTAAATATTCTGATCTCTCTTATTTATTGGATTAATTTTTCAAATTTCTCATACTCACTCAACTCCCCTTTATTACTATTGTTGTTATGTGGTTCAAGACAAAATATGTCAAAAAAATCTTACATTAATTTGTAGGAACAATATTAGTGAAATGTTTCAAATAACAAAGAGTTGAGTAAATAATATGTAAAATATCATAGAGTAGAACAATTGAAATATCAAATTTAAGAAGTATTACAAATGATATTAGAAGATATAGTTTCTCTCAATCAAATCCTCAAATATTAGACTCAAATATTAGACAACTTGTAAAATATATTATCATGTCATCAATTGATAAAATATAATATTATAAACATGTTTGTTAACATTATAAATTATAAATATTATTTAAGACATTAAAAATTACAAACATCATTTTTCATTTGATATTGAAGGTATTTTCAAAGCAATTTTTGGACAAATCATTGAGGTTGAGAGATCTCAAATACTAAATAAGTCCCTTTATTCCTTTATCTTTTACTAATAACCCAAATTTGTTAACCTAAATCAAACATAATAATAATAATATTCATTAATCGATGGATTTTTTGGTTTGGTTCTTGAAAATGAAAATCCAAAATTCTTGAATTTTCAATTCTTAAAAAAATCTTGATTGTTTTGATTGAATATTACATGATTTTTTTATATTAAAAGAAGTATTTTTAAATACTACAACTTTTTTTTACAATAAAAAAAATCTTTTAAAATCTTAATCCAACGTTCTATCTCCCTTAGTCTTATAATTTTCTAAATTTTTTATTTTGGTCTCTACAAATGTTTTTACTTTTTTCCAACAATATAAAGACAATTTAAAAAAAAATTAAAAACGACTAAAATAAAAAATCTCTCATTTCACATTAACTAAAAAGTTATATAAAATTTGGTAAAAAAAAATTATACTTTTAACCTTTAATTTTACTATCACGATTCATATATTTATTTTAATCTTTATATATCATATTTTTAATATTTTAAATTTATTTAACTTAATCATTTTATTTGTTAGAACTTACAACCACCGAACTTGTATAATTTTCTTTAATTAACTATTTTATTATAATAGATTTTAACACATAAAAATTTAGGAGCACCAGATCAACCTTCACCTTCTTTTAGATCGAGTAGGCCTGTTATGTTTATTATTAAATATAAAATAATATCTTATTTAATCAAAATGTTAATACATGCATTTAAAGGTATTTGTTAGTTTAAGTGTTGATGAAAAAGAAAAGGGTGGTATTATTTAATTAAAAAAAATATGAATGCAGAATTTTCATCGGTTCGGTCATGTTAATGCTTTTTCAATCTTACCCAATATTTTCTTTTATTTGAAAATCTAACGGCCAGTATTTATTTGCCACCGAGGAGACATACCAAACCCTCCTACACTGTACAGTAGTTTTTGTTAGGATTTTTATAAATATTTTTACTTATTTAATTTCTACGATGGTAAGATATTTATTCACTATGAATTTTTATATTTTTGATTTTATTTTTGATTATTATTAAAAAAAATTAAATTAATAAAATATATGTGTACTTTATAACAACTTAACCAATCACAATCTTTGAAACCAAAAATGATTCATGGACACCTTATCTTGATTTACGACCACAAAGATAAAGAGACAGGAACACGATAGAAATATAAACAGGAAAAAGTGAAATGAGTCATATAAGTAAAAATGGCTACCATTGATCAATGTATACTATTTGTATATATAAATACATCATCTTACCCATCACTCCTCAACTAATAAAATTGCTCCAACCTACCCTAGAGAAAAACAAAAATACTCTTTCTAGTTTCTAATGTATGCAACATCACCTGAGTGATGGAAAAATTAGTGCAATATTGAAGTAACAAGATACGAGGAACGCCTAACTATCTCACTCATGATCGTGACCACTTTTTCAACATCTCCAATAAAATCTCATTCCATGTGTCTACAGGCTCTGGCAAGCACCAATGAACACAATCATTTTGCACAATTTTGGAACCCCATTAGCAAATGGAAAAGGATTCATATAAGCACCAGGATGTCCATCTGGTCTCAACAATGCTAATTTTGTTACATCAAGTAACTCCAATCTAAACCCTCTAAATTCTTTGCCTTTTACCTTAGCATTTTCCACTTCTTCCATCTCAATCCTTCTTATCTCACTGTCCTTCCCTTCAAGTTGCCTCTCCCTCATTCCATAAGGCTCAGTCTTTGAACAAGTACCACCCTTGTCCCAATCACCTTCAAAATGAGGAGAGAATGTTCTCACAATTACATATATGCCTTTTCCTTTACCAACCTTCCTCTCAATAATGCCATCAAGAGCAGTCCTTAAAGCCCTTCTTGTATGTTGGCTGAGTTGTTGTAGGCCGAAAGGTTGAGTTGTTGTAGGCCGAAAGGCTGAGTTGTTGTAGGCCGAAAGGCTGAGTTGTTGTAGGTCGAAAAGCTGAGTTGTTGTAGGAGATCTCCGAGTTGATATGCGTGACGACGCATTGTATGCTTATGGATGATTATGCTGTAAGGATTGACGGAATGCATATTGATGAAGTGTTGATAAATTGTAGTTGTTCTTATTACTTAAATCTTCCTATATGTGGTTTCTTTTTATGCTAGCTTACCCTTTTGTTGTTTCCATGTGGTTGGACTGCAATGATCATACTATGTATGAGAGCAGAGTAGGGATAGGTGGTGTATCTGTAGCTGGCAGGTGGAGTTGACTCCTTTTGATGCGTTGTTTGTTTCAGCCACTTGGCATAGTGGCTTTGGATGTATTTTTGTGTTGTACACCCTAACTCTAGTCGGATTGGGACCCTTGTATATATTTATATTCTAGATCCTATATTTATATACTCGTTCTATTCTTTCTAGTGTTTCTGGTGTGCTGTGATTGTGAGTGTAGTGGCCAGCTGGGTCGTTACAAATGGTATGTTATGGCTTAATTGTTCAATTAATTATGATGTGAGTATGTTGGCATGAAATGAGATGTTGTGTTGAATGTGAATATGATATGATTATGTTTCCTCACACTTATGTAGGCTTGGCACGACCTTGGGCAAGAAATGCTACAGGAGTGGCGTGAGCATGACATAGAGAGGGATGTGTGAGGCAATTAACACGTATGTTGGCATGGCACGACCTTGGGCAAGAAATGCTATAGGGATAATGTGAGCATGACATAGTGTTAATTGCAAGATTTGTGATGATTGTGAATGAACTGTGATTGTGGATATCCTCACACAGGTGTCGGCATGGCACAACCTTGAGCATGCGAAGCTATAAGGGTGGCGAGAGCATGACATAGAGTGGGACGTGTAAGGCAATTAGCACGTAAGTTAGTGTGGCACAACCTTGGGCAAGAGATGCTACTAGGGTGGCGTGAGCATGACATAGTGTTAATTGCAAGATTTGTGTGTGACAGTTAGTGCTTATGTTGGTGTAGCACGACCTTAGGCATGAGATGCTACAAGGTTGGCGTGAGCTTAACACAATGCAAATTATTTGATGTGATGGATTGATGTGATTGAAAATTGTGATGTATAGATGACCCATGATTGATAGAATTATGATATGTACAAATGATTGTAAATACTTAATTATGTAATGAGTTATGATGAGATTACTGAAGGAAATTGATTCCGTGTCGATTGCATTACAAATCAGATCGTTAGCCTCTTCATGGAAGTGCTGCCGCCGGAATGATGGTTCCCCAACCTCAACCGGGATCATCGCATCCGCGCCGTATGTTAGGCGAAAAGGAGTCTCCCTGGTGGTTGACTGTGGTGTGCATCGGTA